GTCGCGGATCCATTGTCAGAGACAATGGCAGAAACCGGTTATTCATACACAGGGAGTTGTAGTATTTATAGAATAAAGTCGTTACGCTACTGCACACTCATGACAATGAAAGACTCCCCTTTCGAGGATAATCGCCTGCTTGTGCGATACTGGCTTGATGATAGGCGTGCGGGTCGTGATCTGCTGAACGTTCATCACCCGCGTTGGATTTGGACGTGATGAGTGTTCAGCCATCCTGCTCCTTGGCGTGGGCATGTGCGTCCCCCGAGTGGCGGATTGCTTCGGCCGAACTCAGCCTCGGCACCGAATATGGGATGGAAAGGTCATTGCAATTGTTTATGGACTGGAGACCATAACCTAGGCTTCAAGCAGCTCGCAACTCTAACGATCGTTACCCATCGCGAGAATTTCGGCCTCACGAAATTTGAATGTGTGGTCGGGTCTCGTCGAATGAGCCAAGACTTGGGAATTGGCGTAATTTTTCGCACTGCTGCCGTGTGTTCGGCAATTTGCGCCTTCAGAAGTCTTCCAGTTTCTCTGATATAGTTGCTTTTTTAGAAGTTGCAACAGATCCTATAGACGATGCCAGCTATTTCTTGCCGTGACAGTGGATCTTTTAGTTTCACAATCTGACACCTTATGGTTGCCTCCAGTCTGTGCGCGCGCAACGGCCTCCGATACGTTTTTAACGCACGGAATTGCTCGCCCTCAAATGACTGCACTTTAAATAGGGAACAGTAAATTTCAGCACAACCACGACCAAGCCAGTTGACGCAGACGGTGTCTCGAAAGGATCCAGGGATGGAAAAAGTTAGGCAATGCAACATTTCATTTTGTAAAGATGGCGTCCGTCAAAGAACAGTAAAGAGGGATAATTTATTGGGATGTCTAATGACGCAACTATGAGAATCCACATATCGCAAAGGTTGCAAAGAAGGGTTAGATAAAGTCATCTTTTAGAACATGCGTTTTATCAGCAAAAAGGCTGGAAAAAATTAAAAGGGGCTAGACCATCCAGAAAGACAAAAATTCCAAAACCACGACCTACACTATTGAGGACAAAAGCGGACACTTTGAAGACAATCCTTTAAAAAGTGCAAAAAGTGGCATTTCATGAGAAAACACATCCACCGAAAAAAATAGTAATCTTTCAGATCAACCTACCTTCACATCGCCCACCATGGCTGCTCCATAGTTGACATGCCCTTGGTTTTCAACGAGAATAGCAAGCACTGGATGACTGATATCGAGCGGAATAGTGATGTTCGATGGTTTCATAACAGTAGCATGATATAGCTAAACGGAGAGGAAAAGAAAGCTGAATCGTTAGCGAGAACGCGCCACATTTCCGATGGGAGTGAAAAAAGGAAAAGCTAGTTTGCAGGTAGGAATAATTTGGTACAAGAGCATGCGCACGTAGGTCGGCCTTGATTATGAAAAACTTCGAGGATGGGCACTGACTGAGGTGACTGTTTTAGAGACCTAAGTTGGTCTCTCAGGCTGCCAACAGTGTGGCTGCAAGCGACGAAGATGACATCACCCTAAGCTATCCTTTTTTAGCTGCAGATAAGGTCTCTAACGCGTGAGACGGACAGGCTTGAAAATGAGTTTCTCAGGTAGCCCAGCAAAAGGCGTAAACTGAGACATTTGTGGTAAGTGACTGACTGATTTATCGATCGATCCACATCTACTGATCAAGGACAGGCGAACATTTTAGTGCCGGTTGCCCCCTTCTCCTCGTTAAGCATGAGGTGTGACTGTGACAAAATCCTGCAATTCAATACATTTTTTCCTACAGGGATGCGCATAAAGCGAGTGCTTTGGTGAGCACTTTTATCCGAGACAAGGGGTGCAGCTTAATGATAATGAGGCAGTGGCTCCGGTCAGCCAACGGGGACCAGGGTGCAGATTTCACACTCCCGTCAAAACGGCGAAGCCCCCAGTTCAGGGACCAGACCTGGATACAATAATTGCTTTCGGTGCACCGTCCTGACTCACTATCGATACTAGGGAGTGGCGAAAAATTGATGGACCACGGTTGTGATTGTTAAATTTCAGAGGTCACAAGGCTTCTGACCTTCTGCTTTTATGGCACAATAAGAGAAGCGAAAATTGGTCGCGTCAAACACTTGGCCCGTGGTAGTACTGTGCAGTACTGAATTTAATTTCAACTTTCTTCCAGAAAAAAAATGTGTAAAATATAGAACATTAGTAGTAAATGGAAGTGCGTGACTGGGCGACCTAATAAAACAGCGTGAGATAATGGGGTTAATCTACTATTTTCACTCAAACACCTAAAAGTTACCAGTAAAAAAGCAAAGCCAACGCATACATCAAGGGAATAATTTCAGAAATTATTAAGTGCATGACATGGGTCAGACCCAAAATTGCAATAAAACTTTGAGTCAAAGACAACCAACTACTGCAACGTAACCACGTGATATCCATTCTACAAACAAGTAGTATAAATTCTATATGGCAAAGAGATTATACCCACATGGGTACCAACATGCGTCCGGGCATTTAGCTGGCACCTATGCCAAGAGTATGGTATAACGTCTTTGCCGAACGCATACAAACGGATGTTCCAAATACTTGAAAAAGGGCATGCGTTCTCTTGCCCAATTCGCACACCAGTTTTTCTCGATTAAGAAGTAGCAGTACGGTTCTCTCGAGCTCAGAGCGGGGGGCGGGATTATTTAAAGAAGCCTACCTAGCCCTAGATGGACAGATATATCCATTTAGTCAGAGGAAGACACTGGCTAACGATGGCTACCAATAGTTCACATCAATCTGATTAATTTTCTGGGTTGGACATGGCAAGAATTACCCCCCGTTAAAAAGTGGCTTTGCGCTAAATGCCCGCAGATGGAGGGGTTGGGTGTTGGTATTAGAGTTAATAGGACAAACATTAGTAAACGGGAATATGGTGCAAAGCCGACTGCAGTACGAGGGTATTTACAGTAGATTCCCCATCTCATGAAATGTCAACCGAAATTCTGATATGCGTTCTTCATTCAAGTTCTATACTACTGATTATCGTGCAGCCCTATCTCAAGATATTTAAGTTACGTCAGAATGTCGGCTCTGAATGAGCTGTTTTTTACTACCTATAGAAAGCAATGCTGTGTAAAAAATGGCTAATTAAGTAATCTGCATCTTTATCATATCTTTTCAATGCCCTTATAAGTTCAAATATATATATATATATATA